ACTTCTTTTGCCAAATCGCACTGATGCTTGAGCTGATTCTGAAGCCACAGTCAGAATGGAGACGTGAATCTTTTTATGTTCCTGATGTTTTTCGCAATCCAGTGTGATTTCCGTTTCTTCAAATTCTTCGATTGCTCTTTCAATTTTCTCTTCCACTTCTGGCTTCACAGCTTTTTCAATGATCGCTTCTGCAGGCTGTTCGGTCTTAGCTTCCTTTGTTAAGTGAACTGAGGTTTGAGCTTCTGTTGCCACGCTTATGATGGATACGTCAATGATTTCATTTTCAAACTCTTTTATATGCTTTATCACCTCCTTCCCTGTTTTTGATGCGATCGTTACGTGGTGCATGGTTTCGTGAACTGTGGTAGGACGTGTAATCTGCGCGTGCTCGATTGACATATGCCTTGATATATTGATCGATGCACAAATTTGTTCTTGCAGCTCTTTGAAAACTCGTTCTGATGTGTCGTAAATGTGTTCTATCACGGAAGATCCCGGAAATGATGTTGCGGATTTTGTTTCGAAGAAAATTTCTTTGCTGATTTCCTCATTGTCTTCGGTTTCCTTTGCTGTTGCAGTCACTTCCGTAATTGCTGTCCTATCATGTTCAACATATTTTGTCTTCACTGAAGTCATTGATTTTTCGATGACTTTTGAAGAATTGATCACTTTAATATCTTCTTTTTGTTCGTTAAAGGCAACATCAACGACAGCAAACGTTTCGTGATACACTCTTCCATGATGTATTGTCCTATAGAGAATCTCTGCATGTTCGATAAACGCAGGCTTTATTACATTGAATGGTGCATCAATTTCTTGTTGTGGTACTTTATATTCTTCTCGTTCTGACGCATCATAAACGTTTTCTGTAACGGAAACATTCATGGCTGAATTTGCTGGCTTTCTTTCTATGAACAGGTTTTTGCTAATTTCTTCGTATTCTTCAGCTTTGGCTTCTTTTCTAATTTCTTCCTTATCTTCTAGTTTCATACCATTTTCGGTTAAAGCATATTCCATGTTTTCTACTGATTCCATCGCTTCACTGATTTGCTTACTTTGTTGGTATTCATATTGAGTCGTCGATGTTTGTGCGGTTTCTTTGTCTTGGCGTCTTCTGTCGGCTGATTTCGTTGTTTTCGAAACGTTTTCAACTCGTATTCTTCGAATTCTCCTGTGTTGTTTTTCATCCCATCCTTCTTCCATTCGAATATAGCATTCTATAACGGCTCGTCCGACTTCATTGATTGCTTCACATACGTAATGTCCTTCAAGAATGTGCTGCATGTACAGCGTTATAACACCACTCTTGTACACTACGTGAAAGAATCTGAAAATGATTCATTTTGCTAAGATATGGTTATAATTGATTGAAAAGTATTCATTAATCAGCTAATAAGACTTTTGATAGTGTGTTGCTGATTGTCTTACGGATATCATAAACAACAACACAGTTCCTACTTCTTACATCTGTCATTAAGTTTAGATTCTTCATAACTTCTTTTGCGCACTCAAAAGATCCGACTAAATGTTGGTCGTAGTTCATAAGCAAATGTTAACTATTCCGCTTGTGCAGTTATCTACTATGTGACATGACTGTATTTTAAGGTTAGTATATATTAGATGATATTTGGAAGTAAGAAAGTCAAAATCTTGAAACAATAATAAATGAGAAATCGGTTATAGGACTGATCTTTCGCATCAAACATTTAGCTAAGATTCGTTATTTCTATTCCAAACTGACCTATTATTTCTCAGGATCGGACATCCATTATGCGATATTCGAATACATGGTGCTGGTAGACCGTAGACAGAACAACGCAATCCGCTGTCGTAACCTTCTTGAAAGATAGCAAATGACTGAGTGAAATACGGTAGTCTCAAAACTGAATGTGGGAAATATTTCTCTCGTCTGACTAAATCTTCAATGGATGCTTCAAACTCGTCACCTCTAGCAATTGCATGGTATAGAGCAGGTCGAATATCAAATGTTGCTTTATATCGGTAACGTGTAATAAGAATCACATATGCCTCTACAGTTTCACTCATTGCATTTGCTATGCAATGCACAACTGCGAAGAAGCCAGTATCCTCAGCAAGTCTTCCAGTTTGTTCTTCACGTACTTCCAATTGCCGCTTTTGTAAAATTTTTGGTGAACCTTCGGTTTGACGTAACTTAAATCGAGTTTCACGTTCCTCACTACTTTTCGATGTTTCTGTAGCCTTTAGAAGCTGTACGTAACGCTCAATAATATCTTTATCTTCTAAAAATTCGTCTAATTGATCATTTTGAAATATTTTTTCAAATTCTACTCTTTCATTAATAACTTCTCGGCTCCAATATGAAGGTCTTTCAATTGTATGATCCTGTGTCCAAAATTGTGTTGCGCTACGTTCGACCACTCTTAAATATGTTCGTGTGCGGATCACTTCCTCATCAATGATTATTTTAAATAATTTCTCTTCCTTTAATTTTTTTGATTTCACTCTTACTTTTGCATAAGCAGAAAGTTTGTAACTCATGATTCTTATTGTCTGCGCTTCTGCTTCAATCAAATAATTCAGTGTGCCTGTCGGGATATATTGATCAGTCGTGATTTCCTCTTTTCTTAATTTTCTTTCTTCGAGATCTTCCTTAATCTTTTCACTTATATCAGCAGTTGAGCAGAATTTTGATGTCGAAACTGACAAAATTACGGCCTCAGCTGACTCTGTCATATCTTTCAGTTCTATTGCTGTTGTCAGTGAAACTTCTGGGCTATATGTATGAACAAAACATTGAGTTTGCGCACTTCCAACACCATTTGTTGCTTCACATACGTATAAGCCTTTTTTGTCACCTTTCGCGATTTTCAGCATGATAATGCCATCGTCATAAACGGCAAATATATTCCTGGAAATTTTCATCATCAAATAAATCTTTTTTAGGAAATATGATGTAAGAATAGACTGATGAAAGAATTGATTCAAAATAAGGACAAACAGATAACTTATCCATCTATTTGAATTTGATGTTTAAGTAAATATAAATGTTTGTTATAGCATTGTGAAAAATAGGTAATATATTATGAACAAAAGTAAATTGGTACTGAAAAGTTTTCGGCGAAAGATTAGATTGGTAACTAATTTTAATTCAAAAAAAGTTGCGGATGAGGACTTTATGCTAGTTCTTTTTGAAACTTTTCCAAAGGTTGCGGCATTTTCATGCTTAATTCTATCATTAGCTTGCATTTTCATTCCTAATATCGCATATAGTTGTATACTTCACGGTTTACTGAAAATGGAAGGTAACGATTTTCACTAAAAGGGAATAAAATTCGGAATTATAAGTGATTTAAAACAATAGGTGATAGGGGACATTATTATATCAATTGAAGTTAAACTAAAAATTTCCACCTGTTGTCTGCTTTTATTCCTTTGCCATTATATGTCCAATGAATTGTAGGCATTGGTTCACCAGTGACAATACATTTAAGTTGCAATTCATCAGTTTCGCATATGTTTATGTCATGCAGTGGTAACGTAAATTGAGGTATTTGAAATTGAGTGGTGAATGAATCTTGTGATGACATCGATCCTGGCGATACTTCATCTATGGTATGATCATCCACAGTGCTTTTTGCAATCAAAATTTCCTCCTCCTTTAGGCTACTTGTATCTGAAAAATACGCTTCTTTTAGTAAAATTTTTATGACTATTTTTTGTCTAATTTCAAATCAGTTACTGAAATTATGTCATCATTTCATCTTAATATTGCAGGTAATCCATAAGAAAGCACTTTTGTTGGCTTAATTTTATCAGTGCTATATATTTCGTCCAGTCATATTTACGCCTAAAAGCGATATGCTCATTTATTGAATGAAAAGCGAAATTTTTTGAAAACGAAATTGTAAAAATTCAATATATGTGAAATTCTCATCACCTTCAACAATCATTCTACTTTCGGTTTTTGTAGAACCGAATATATTCATCGCCGTGCAACTGAAAATTGCGTTGTCCTCCTCTGCGACATTTGAAATACGCAAAATACAGATCCCGTCATCACATATAATCAAGTAATGTCTGGAAAGATGATAAACATGCATTTGCGAAGTTCATTAGATGATCAATACATACTTATGCCTTGGAAATCTAACTATAAAACTTAGGGTTTTTTTATTCAGATTTTTATCATACTCATTGTTTTCGATGATAACATCGTTACGCTTCCACTGCACTGAAGGCATCGGACTTCCAGATATTACACATTTCAACTGGACATTTTCTCCCATCTGAAACATATGTTTTATCCTTTAAAATTAAAAGATTTAAATTTCAATAATTTTTGGAGAGTGGAAAATATATCAAAAGTACGAAAAATTTCGTTGATTTGATTTTAAAATGGCCAATTCTTTGACAAATGATGAAAAATAAGGAAAAACCAAGGAAACTTGCTAGGCCATTATTAGAAAAGAAACTTATCACAATGTCGATTTGCTTATCACGCTTTAAGAGTGTTGTTTTGTTTACATAAACCTACTTTAACATGCATTTCACTGCTGAGTGATAGATGGATGACAGGCGATTGTCCTCCAATCGATGCGCTACTGATGGAACTTTCCTCTGATCCTGTAATATGAATTGTCTGAAAAGTTTGTACTATAAACTCAATCAGTCATTGCTTTGCTCCTATCTTACTTTTGTTTCTGATTCCTATTTCAACCCTTACTCTCCTTTCAATTTTAGTGAACAGAACAAAGTATAAAAGCAAGTAAAAAGAATTAGTTTATCTGTGTATTTGCACCGCAATGATTTAATTATTACTCTAATTTACTTACTCCAAAGTGATTTAATTATTGCCCTAATTTATTTATTCCAATTTTTCAACTTCCAAATGGTTTCCTGAATATGCAAATATAAACAGAAGAATAATTCTGAATTTATGATATCAAAAGCGATGTAATTGTGCTTTAATTGAATGAGCCAATACTTTGAACGTAAATAGTGGAGTGCGTGCGAGCCGTTCCGCTATCATTTTCCGCTTCACAGACCAGACTTCCGTTCCAACTTCTGTCTGCGCTATTTATTTTCAATATGTGTATACCATCTTCAGCAATCTCTGTTATGTTACTGTAATTATAATTATTAATTTTGAAATCCCAAAAACAATTTGGCCCAATACGGTAGATTTAATATCAATAAAGAATTATTGCAGTAATTATGAGGCTGTTGATTATGGCCTGAAGCACAAAGTTTCTTAATTTCCATTAAAAAGAACTTTCCCTCCTTGCTAAAAGAAAAAAAAATTTTGGCGGTAAAATTTTAAATAAACAGCATGAAAAATAAACGCCAAATGAAACCAGTTGATAACTATTTTTTCTTAAGTAGTTTTTGCATTCTACTAATTTTGCATATTTTGAAATAATCTAAGATATACTTACTCGTTAGGAGTAATTGCTTGTCCATTATGGTACCATCGAACCTGTGGCGCCGGTGTTCCATAAATAATGCATTTAAATGCATGACTTGCGAATTCTTCAATCTCGTAATGCTCACGCAAAATTTCTGCGAATTGAGGAGCTGCTTGAGCGAGGGATGTGCTAAGTTCATCAGTTGATTCATCTAAGAAAATATTTCATGAGTTCATTCACATCAGTGATAAAATGAATCTTGGAAATTAAAATTACCTGTATTGTACTCATTTTTAATCAGTTAAATTTTGAAGATTTTCCTTGTGTAAATAAACTGCGACAAAAAAGCACACCACAAGAGAAAATACGCAATCTAAGCTAGCAAAATCACATGTTTATAAGTTTCACATGCTGTAAATTTAATTTCATTTCTCCAAAATAGTTGGCGATACCTTGGAGCGTTGAATTATAGCCACAAACAATACTTAAAAACTCATAGTCTAAATAAAGGATTTAACTATCAAACAAAAATATTAAGCAAATAAGAAGACAAAATGGAACTAAAAATCTAGTCACAAAAATAACTTTTCGTTAATTATGAAAAATAAAAATTTTGATGAAGTCAAAAAATTATCGAAAGTAGAACTCCAAAATCAAAAATTCCTGGTTACTGAAAACATGGATATAGAGTTATAGATGGTTAAGTTGTTTGCCTAGAAGATGCTGCTCTTTGATAACCTTTAAATAGGTGCTTCTTCCAATTACTCAAAAAAACTTTTGGTAACCTCATTCCTGACCTTCGCTGAAATAAAAAAGAGATGAAAACGATCTGTCATATCATCATTTGTCACCGACAATTGTGAAAACCAGTAGTGAATCTACTTTATGGATTCTATGCAATAAACACAAAAACATTTGGCGTGTGACAAGCGTAAATAACATACCCTCTTCGTAGATATTTTCGTGTAAGATGAAAGCAGAATCGCTGATTTGGATTGACCGTGCTAGATCTAAGTGTTGATAGAATCCTATATCTAGTTGTGTACGGCTCCATAATGTATCCATCTCAAAAAATATTGTTAAATGTTATTAACTTACGTACATATGGAATACCTGTCACAGTATTCAAATACTGAAATACTTTTTCAGACTTGAAGATTACCTCAGTCTCTTCGATTGTTCGCCTCGGTCGATATGGCTTAAATTCCATGAGAACTGCTTCAACAATTTCGTGATTTGAAGCATGATAATAAATCTCAACATCAAGCTTTGTCTCATTGTCGCTGTATCTCTTTTCGATGACTTCAATAATTTTTTCAGATCTAATAGTAATCAATAATTGCTCTTCTTCTGAACAAAGTTCGAAGGAAGTATAAATTTCGATATTCTCAAGAAATGAAGCTTGTACATTCGCAAGTTGTCTTTCCTTCTGACGAATTAAGACAACAGCATCAGCGTAACATGCTTCTGATTCCACTTCGAAGCATATTCGGATATCTAAATTCTCTTCTTTCACTGCTTTTATCCATGCTTCTGTAGTTCCATATGCTGCGGTCACTGCTTCAAAATAGGCGTATAAATTTCTGTCCACTGTTGAAAACATTTCGGAAATTATTTTAGTAAAATTTGATGAGAATGTTCTATTTGTTCTTTCTACAACGATCGGTACTCTAGCAAGCAGTATCATTTCAACGTTTCCTACTTGTGGTTTCACTTCAAAACTCGTTAACATATTTGTACATTGTTCACCAAAAGCTTTCAAGCATATTTGACTACTATGCTTTCGTTTTATTGATATATTTACATCAGCATAGGAGTTAGCTTGGGTTTCGTACCATAATGCAGCAATTAGATCAATGGTTTGATAGGAGAAGAAACGATTTACTTTGTAAGTATCGGTTCGAACTATCTCAGATAAAGTGACATCAAGTTCTTCAGCTTCAGAATAACCTTTCAAAACTAATGAGATATGCGTATCCTCAACAAATGAAGCTTTCAACTTTGTTTGCATCTTATCATTTCTAGCAATATAAATTTCAACATTTGCAAAAGCTTCACGGCAGACCTGCGACCAAAGTTCAATGACGAAGTTCACCAAACTATCTGAAAATTTGCGTTCATTTCTTTCCTCAATGGTAGGTGCTTGCGTTAGCAAAGTAGCGACGATATTTTCGATTTCATCTTGGATATAAAATCTTGCTAGTACAGTGACATTTTCTTCTTCTGAGGCTTTCAGATACAGTTGAGTTGTACATGTTTGAGCGATTATAATGTCACCATCTATATGGGAATCGTTTTGCATGTGTAGCTCAGTAATTAAGTTCACAACAGCGTCCGAAAATGACTGACTGATCTCCTGAATTAGTGTTGGGACCGGAGTTAGCAATATGAATTCCAAATCTTCCTTCTCCGGTCGCACTTCGATAATAGCTATAATATTTTTTTCCTCAAATTCTGCACTTTTAATATTCTTAATCAAACTATCTTCTCGGGCAGTGAAAATTTCCGTCTCCACTTCTAGATTACGCATAAGCTGTGACCGGAATTCTGCTGTTTCATGAACCAAATCATCGAAAAACATAGAGCTAGATCTTTCAACGATTGTCGGTGCTCGCATTAATAATGTTATCGTAGCACTGCTTTCCTGAGATTGAACTTCAAACGTTGAGATGACATGTAGATTTTCAAAAGTTGCTCTGAAATTTGCAACGTGCACATCTATTCGTGGTATTAAAAAGATAGCATCGGCGTAAAATTCCCGAGATATCTGAGATGAGCACTCTGAAATCACATTAACCACGTCATCTGAAAACAATCGGCTTGTTTTCCTAACAATTTTTGGTGCTTTTGTCAGTAAAGTGGCTATCACTGAGTCCATTTTCGGTTGAATAGTAAAAGCTGTCGATACATCGAAATATTCTTCAATTGAACTAGAAAATCTTGCGCTCAGTCGATCCATTTCTACTGCTCGAAAATCAGTAATGACGTAAAAGTTACGATTAATCTGCGACCACAGCTCTAGTTCAAGTTTCACGACACTGTCAACGAATTGACGTTGACTCGTTTCATAGTGCATTAGTGATTTTACAAATATTGTTAGTTCCATACTTTCATTTTGTGTAGCTTTCGAAAAACTGTAAGTTACTGGAATTACCTCAAGTACTGAAGCCGATAGCTTCATACCGATCATTTCCATTCGAACTAATGGTATTTCTTTGCTTATAAACAAATCCTGATCCATGTCTGAACTTAACATTATTTCCAAAGACGAAATAGAATCGACATAATTTCCACTTGTTGCTACAGACAAAGTTTCTAGAAAAGTTACTGCAATATCTTGTTGTTGAATAGGACTACATACTGTAAAAACTTCATCAACTTTATGTGCTTCAGAAGCATTGCATTGTAGATGAAACATTTCCTTTTGAACAAGATCAATCCTGATTGTGGTATCAAAAACCTGCGGTACTTTATATACAGCAATAAATTCCAACCAGACGACGTCCACAGCAAACTTCCGTGTAATCTTTTCCGGATATATGACTGATTTCGTTAGCAACACAGCATCATAATATTCGCATTCTGATGTTCTATCAAATGTGATGATCTTGTCATATTTTTCAAATATTAATGCAAACAATTTCATTTCTATTGCTATCATTCTGGGAATTTTGTTTGTAATATTCATCGCTATACTTTGCATTGGTGACAACAATATGACATCTAATTTGACCCACCGATCACCTAGCTTTATTCCTAATTTTTCGACAATTTTTTCTCGTACACTTGTAACAACGGTTAATTGTTCCACACTTGACTGTTTTATAAAACTAGTTGTAAGTTCAGCAGATTGTGAACTGAGATGGATTTGTGCAGATTGCTGCGCAATCAGTGTTAGTACTATAGCTTCACCAACAGCATGACTAACTGAAGTAGAAGATGTGAATTCAAAGTGAACATCTGTTGTTACAAAATTGCACGCAATAATGGTTATTTCCATAAAGGTCAAATCGCTGCTAGTTGCATAAGAAGGCTCACGATATATGTTGATGTCTTTTTCCAGCTTCTCATTCGACAATCCACGTGACATATAGCTGACTGATACGAATCGCTTTTCATCAACAATTACTGGAATTTCAAACGATTGCATAGTAAATCGTAGATCAAAATATTCTTCCATATTACACAATTGATATGCTTCGAAGGTTTGTGCATGTTGTAGATTAACACGATCATGTAATTGCGCAAAAGCTTCACTCATCATTGCTGGTGTTGGATTTAGTGATATATCAAAATGTTCAGTGGCAATTTGTTCCTGTGATTCTGCAAATACATTAACAAAAAATAATTGCAACCTCAAATATTACAGATGATAATGACAGGATTGCTCCATAATGAAATCTCTAATTATTGAAATTTCTTAATGAAACACAATTTCTTCTCAGTGAAATAGAAGGAGTCAAACAAACGGTATTTCTATTCTATATCTCATCATCTAAAGTAAGTTTCCAAGATGAAAACCTCAGATATATTCCTCTGAAAATCTCATACGTCACTTGTACTAATTTCAGAGTTATCAAAGTGCAAAAAAAAACAAGTGATCCTTTCATTTACTCTAAAACAGCTCACCAATTACAGTAATCTTAGTGACAGCAGTATATGAATCTTTTATTAGAACGCCATATTCGCCTTCGTCACTCTTCCGAACACTGTAAATTGTAAGACTATGCTCAAAGCCATCAGCTGTATCTTTCCTTTCGATTCGCTCATCTTCCATAATAGGTTGCAGATTTTTCCGCCAATCCAATGAATATTGTTGCGCAATTGTTTCACAGTGAATTGTTGCAGCGGAACCAACCGGTACCAGCGATTCTTCCACTGTAACTTGACTTGCATATTCTCCTATAATACGAAAATTCGACCAGTTGACAATATTGAGGGTTGATTAATCAAAATTTAAGAATTCAATGTCAGAAATCAAAACAAATTCAGATCTGATCGTTTTAAGTGAAATGTAAATATTAGACTATTCCATTTGTATATCAGTATGTCCTAACTTTTACTTTACAATTAAAAAAAAGTGATGGGAAATTTTGCTTTTTTTTAAAAATAGGATGCAAAACTGATTGATGAGAACTTTTAATATAAATTGGTTTCTGTGGGGAAAAGTGGAATAGAAGATTCATTCCATCTTACGGCAGTAAAATTTGAAAAATATTTTTGTATTGTCTTCGGTTATCAAAATTTGAATAGAGCTTTTCAAGTTGTAAACTTTGGGATTTGCTCATAAATAAAGACGAAATTTCAAAAATTTGAAAAATCCTTTCAGTATGCTAACAATCGTATGTGGTGACCAGTTTTCCATCATAATTTCCTAAATCCTCTTTTTTTTTCAGTAACCTTTATAGATTCAAGATTACAGTATCATACTGATTGAGTGCCGGAAGTTTTAGGAAATTGGAATTTATTTATATGGTAGTTCATTTTTCAGGTGCTGAGATTTAAAAATAAGTTGATTTTATTTATACGCTTTTTCTTAATGATCTGAAAATTCGATTTCGTTTATCTATCTGTGTGTATTTCATTTAGATAGCGTTATGACTAAAATTATGTTAATTTAAGATTCTAAATCTATTAAAATCATACCGCTGAATTCATCTAAAAATCACCGATGAATTTATAAGCAAATCAAGGGAAACAGTTTGATAATGGGTATTTATTAGCTTTTGCAATATTTCTAGTGTGAAAAATTTTAGTGAGATTTACGGTCAGAGAGATTTTTTGGCCGTTTATCCCGACTTTTCAACAGTTGTATTTGTTTATTCCCACTAATCTTAAATAACTTCGGGAAATACTACTAACCCGCTTTAAATTTCTGATTTGTCATTACAAGAAAAGGTGAAAACAATTTAAGTTTCACTTCGGAAAGATAATTCTTTAAGTTAAAACAAATTTACCAATTTCTTTTAAATCCAATTTAAAATGTATTTATTTTAGGTTCTCTATTTCTATCCGAAGATATGATGATATTATAATTAGTGATTAACTAGTACTCATTATTCCTACCCTACCTTATTATAATTGTAAAAATACGGCGTAGAGTGTATTTTTTTAAGTTGAAGATTTGATTTACACAAATTTAATTATGCTGAAAAATTTAATCGCCAGGGTGGAAGGGAGAGGAATACTTCTGCACAAGCATTGTTAATTGTACATTCCTTTTAACAAAAAGAAAAAACGAAAGAGCTGGTATTTGAAGGCAAGAAGAAGTGATAATGATAATGATGATGTGGTGATACAAGAGTAACAGTGATAAGTTTTACTTGAAACGAGCGGAAATGTCGCAGGAGCGAGCAAAATATAAATGAATAACAAAATATGATACAACTTATCAGATAAAACAACAAAAAATAATCTATCAAAACTCTCATAACGGAGAAGCAATGTAAAGATAAAACGACGATTCCAAGAATGACTGATTAAATGGAAAACATAAACAATTTATTGCATTTGAAACTTTCTTTTTTCTAAATTCTTTCTCGTATTTAATTTGTAACACAACAATAGCTTTTAAAAAAGATTAAAAATGCTCTCTGCAAAAAGACCAAAGAACGGTATTTAAAAAAAAAAATGTTTTTCCTAGAATAAAATTTTTAGTCAAGAAGTGGTTTAATGAGTAATTAATTGGGAAAAACCGAATAATTAATTCTCATTGAGTCTTACCGAGTAATTAATTGGGAAAAAAATATCAAGACTAGAACTTTATGCTATATGGAATCATCTTATCCTCGAGGTAGTTTAAATAATTCCCAACAAAATATCGATTGATTATTTGACTTAACTTGATCGTTTAATAGCAATCAAAATGCCTAAATTCTCGAATGTTTGTTAATACCATAGAAATAATTCCATTTTTATTTGGGTAAAATTTTTGGAGGAAATGGGAAAGATTTCCTTTTCCAAAAAGTTAACCAAAAAGTATCAAAATCCTTGAAATGAGTATCATAAATTTGCATGGAATGAACTTTCAGTAATTATTGTTCAATATATCATTTAGATAGGAATTCATTTTGAGTTTTCTATCATTTTTGGGACAAAATTAGTGTAAGTAGGATATGACTTCTGAATTTGCATTAGAATTGAACAGTTCTAGATGATAGAATAAAATTGAAGAGAACAAAATTAATGTAGAGAGCTTCTGGAGATATGTTTGGTATAGTTGCTACCGTTACCTGTTGCATAACTGCTAACTGTCAAATGAGCAATTTTGAATTCGATATCATTAATACAGATACTATAGGATGCTGAATCATCAGCTTGTGTATCATGAATCACTAGATAATGTTTTAAACCATTTACTACATGTTCAACTTTTCCGTCATCCGAAAACTCAATTCGTTTACCATCTTTGCGCCATACCAATTTTTGCACCTCATCGGTACTTTCCAACTCACAAGAAATTGTTGCTGTGCTACCAAAAGGCACCAGATACTCATGATAATCATCTTCGTCAGTGTCTGTTCCCAATGCACTGATGGTCACTTCACGTTCGTCAATGCGTTCTGTTATCGAAGAAAGATTAAATTAAAAGAAGAGTTAGTAAGAAGCAAAGCGGCTTTTTAATCAACTTGAAAATCATTCATTATCTTCAAGATTACAACAGAATTTTGTTAATGGAAATTATATTCAAAAGACATCCATCGTATCATCAAATATTAATGAAGCGCTATCGAGGCAAAATCTTCATTAAATTATAAATGAGAAAAATTTGACGTAACTTTAATAGCAGTTCAAATGTTATTATCAAGAAAAAAAAATTATGCTTACCTTCAACAACCAGTGTAACTGTTGTAAACTGATCACCCAGAAAAGCATAATAAGTCCCCTGATCTTCTAGTTCAGATTTATCAATAATTATCCGATGATACCCAAAATGATCTGTCTCTAATCGTATCCTCTCATTTTCAGTTACCCATTTTTTGTTATCTTTACACCATTGAATTTTAGCATCAGCACTACCAACCTGGCAGGAAATAATTGATGGTTGTCCTTCCATTACAAATAATGTTTGTGGTGGACTTATGAAATGTATATCATCGTTGATTTTTTCAGAAGATGCATCAGCATTCTCAACAATAAGATATGCAACGGGATAAATAACATCATTAACCCGAATGCTGTAAATATCGCCGTCCATTAGGCTCAAATGTGAGATAACCAGTACCTCTAACAGATCGTGACTTATGCGATCCGTTTTTCCGGGTACAATTTGCATCAAAGATTTACCCTTGAACCAATCAATGAAACTTCCAGGAGTTAAAAAATTGTTAAATTCGCATGTGATTGTAGCAGTTGATCCTTCCTTAAGAACATAGCTTGGTATATTGAAATTTTGTCCACTGATACTTCGATCACCAAATTCGCTCCAATCAAACGATTGTCGTGATGATGACCGAAACGATTCATGAGAGCGTAGTGAACGTTTTTCAGTTTCATTCGATTCCGATACAGTCACATTTTGGATTAGTGAATTTCTGGTTTCCGAATCGGTTTTCGAACGAATCATAATGGGCTGCATTACAATATACATGGATACTTCTCCCCAAGGGATTTCCTCCAATGAGGCGCATGTAAAGTCATGCATGCTTCGCGCAATAATGTTTACAGAAATACCGGTACGTTTTTCCTTGCCTTCAGTAGTTTTTGATGAATGATGATGATGATGATGCTCGTAATCACTTATTCGTTCTTCGTCAGTTTCACCATCATGTAGATTTTTAACTTGATACGATAGAACACTACCATACTGTTCACTGCGTTTCAGTGATAAATCCACTTCGACCGTATTTTGAAGAGTCAAATCAAGACTAATCGAGTCACTTATATGATCTAAAATTTTAACTGTAAAGTCTTGAGCTTCATCTGGTTGTTCAATTAGAACATCAAAATCTTCACCAATAATCGTACATGCTTCAGCTTTAGCTTGTATCTCAGGTGATAAGACTGCTATCACCTTAAGCTTATTCGATGGCTTTTTATAGTTTACATTGATTGTAGTTTCCTCTGATACTTGTTCAGCGTCATTCTCACATATCAAAATTACTCTCTGCTTATAATTATCCAAATAGTTGATATCATCCACATCACTTCTACTAAAAGGAACTTGAAAAGTTTTCTCAGTCAATCCTGCAGTTGATTCCAATGTTGATGATGATGTAATATCACTCCCTTCTTCATCTTCACCAACTATCTCATGAATATCACTGTTTGTTTCCTGCATATCAATGTTAGCAATGATAGTATTTGTACTGACAGACATAAATGAATGTGCAATTTTCGAGCTTTCATTATCTTCTACTATCGTTGGCAATAAGTCAATGCCATCAATGATACTGGCATGAGGATTGCATATTATCATTAGATCATCCAGTTCATCTAACATTTCATCTTTATCATCAATTGATTCAATTTCATGCAATGAATTCGCCTCATCCTCTAATGTATTTGTTATGGCTGATCCTTGTGGTTTTGTATCCAAGGAAACATGAGAGTGCTGCTGTGTTAGCTTTTGAACACTTTCAAAAACCGCATTTTCAGATGTACTACTTTGTGGATTTGCCAATGATTTCAAACTTTCATTTGTTTTCTGGTCCATGTCAACTAGATATTTTGAAATATTTTCATGGAAAGTTTCATCCAATTCAGGAGTTGTGGATTTTTTCTCTTCCCTTTCATTTTTCAAGTTAACAAAATTTTCTTCCGATTTCATGATATTTTCAGCAATAGTTTCGACTTTAGTTGTCGTCAAATCTGATGAAACTTCCAGTGTTTGCAAAAGCATTTCTTCTTGAACTTTGCCCGTTGGTTCAAATAGCAATAGTGAATGCATAACTGATTCCGGTGCATAGTCGGAATCCTCACATGTAAGTTGTATGGAATTAGGTTCATCGAACGTTTCCAGTGAAATATGGTATTCTTCTCTTGAAGGCCAAACGTATGAACAACTGGAAAAGCTTCCCTTTTTTTTGATAATTTTTTCATAACTGATTTCCCTTTCATTAAATTTTTTAGATTTATGTTCAGACATCGATGGGCTTGACTCTTCCACATCCACCAAATTTATGACATTCAGCGGATTTAAATAACCATTCTCATGAACTGACATATCTAACTGCGACGTTTCACCTTCTTCGCTCATATTCGCTGTCATATTCTGCAACATAGGCAATGGATAATTCCGCGCATCAGAGGAGGAGGATCGAACAATAAGATTTTTATAATCATCACATGATTTCGAACGACGCTTCGTACGCAATGGTGGAACCGGATGTGGTGAACTAGCTCTTTGCTGATGCATTTCTCGTAACCTTCGTGGCGGTCGAACGGGAGTTGTTTGAGAATCCTGAACAGAATGGAGTGAAAATGAACTGCTTGGCGGATCAACAAAATCTGACAAGATAACTTTATCATCCTTTTCAGTATCGGATTCCGAAACAAGTGTCCACATCGGATCATTTCCTATTTCTTGCGAAATCTTGTTTTTATCATCAAAAACTGCATCTTCATATGTGGAGACTTCAGAATTCTCACTTTTCGATATTTGATTTCCAGATTTGTCAGATGAAGTCAACTTGACGATGGCATGAATAACTTCTGATTCCTCACGCTTCTTAAAGTATAAATTCACTGAAGCATCTGTTTTGAAAAAGAATCCAGTCCTGGAACACGGTGATAGATGATGGGATGATCGTTTCGATGATTTTATCCGTTCTCTACTGGCATTTCGTCCTTTTCCACCAGGCGACTTTTTCCTCAGTCTTTTTTTATACACTGATATTAGATCAACCATTGAAGAAACATTGTTGCGAACTTTGTGCAATAAACCAACTGCAGCATCAAGGCTTGTCTTCGAGATATTTCTTTGACAGCATCGTTTGATAATACTTATTTCATTATTGATTTGCACAAGAATGTTATGTACTTCATGTTGCTTAGCATCCGAATATACCGGAAAGGGAACATGAGTTTCGGCAGACAATTCTTTAATATCATTTTCGCCTTCTTTTTCAACTTCTTCAAGCATACATTCCAAACTTTGAAGTTGTTCCTTAATGTTTGATGTTAAGGGTGTCATCCTTCTAATCTCTTGCTTATTGGTGCTTCCAGTTTGTTGAAAACCATATAATGATGCTCCACAAATTTCTCTCTCGATCGAACTTTCTCTGGTAGATGCTGCATATTCCCGTTCCGCACTGAATGATTTTGAGAATGCAGACTGTGCTTCCGGAATTGATCTTGTCATCGACGATTCCCTGAATTCTAAATCTTCTCTTTTCAATGTTTCTTCCAGATCAGTCAACTTTTCCCGCAATAACACGACCGGTTTTTTATAAGCAGCCATTGTTTCTATAACACTGCTTCGTCCCGTATTCTTGATAATATTTTCAAGTATTGTTTTTAGAAGCTCTTCACTTGCTTCTGCTTGTGCTTCCGTTAGAGAATGCTGATGTTCTATACGCTCAGATATATCGTATATTGCGCGTTCAATTTGAAGTACTTCCTCGTTATTTTCTGATTCCACTTCAATTTCAGTTTTATCTTCTCCACAAACTTCATCCATTACTTTAATCTTCGACAATAACTCGACAGTAGCATTGTTCTGAGCTGTGATCACTCCCAGAGGAAATCTTTGGAAATCTTTTTTAGCGGAAATGTTGGTATTTGAGGTTAAAGTGTCGACAGTTCCAGGACTAACATGAAAAGGTTTCAAATGCTTATCTTCCAGTACACAAAGATTATATCCATTTGTATATACTGATGTCGAATAACTTTCATCATGTTGTAGCCTGGGATTAGCTGAAGCACTGAAAACCTCAAATTCTTCGCTGGGATCAAAAGTTACAGCAGTTTCTGTACTTTCTATCGAAGTTGTAAGATGTAGTGGATAAGTTTCTGTAGTATGATGAGAATATAACGGTATGTTGTCCAGTTTATTAAAGCTATTGCAAGTATCTAACTTGCTATGACTTCCTTTACTCCCAGGATTACCAAGGTTTTGTCCCGAGTTCTCACCTGAATCGTAACCAATTTCATATGTTAATGATCTGGTGGATTCAATTCTTTCTTTGTTAGAAGGCACATTTTTGGAACTTAGATTTGAATTCAAGTGAACAGTTCCAAGCGGTGAAATATCCTTTGCAAAATAACTGCTAGCTGATGTTAATCCAGGTATCGGGAAATCTCGAATTATCTCAACATGTTCCAATCTGCGGCAAAATGAACAGTTCAGATATTCTTCATTAACAGAATCTTTCAACAGATCATTTCCCATCTGATTGTTTGTCGTATTCAGTCTAATGACATTGCCTTGTTTATAACTGCTTGTACCGGTGGAGGTAGCTGTTGGTACGGAAAGGTCAAAATTAAGTAGTTCATCAACACACCGTCGAATTGCAGCTAAAGCATTTACACTGACCCCCAGATATTCTTCAGATGTCTGTCGAAATGATTCATGATTGAACTGATTGTCATCATCTCTGAGCAGAATATCAAGATCATCAGCTTCCTTCTCTCCATAAGTCATTTCTTGAGGAATAATCGGAATTCGTGATTCTTCCTCTTGTTTGTCTTTATAGCAAACAATTTTTTCATTATGTTCACTTGTTAACTTTTCCGAATTGTTGATACTTTCTTTCATTTGTGATGTCAGATTTGCTTGAATGGCAAAATTTGTCGCATCATCTCCTCCAACAGCATCAACTATCACTCCCACTGTGATATCTTCCATAGATTCATTTTTGCTACAACCGTTTTCATTAGAACTTTTAATTAAAATTTCCACTCGTACTTTTTGCATCCGATAAAATTCATTATCCCAGACAAATGCATTCTCAGGTTTTTTAACCAATAAAATTTCCTCCCAGGGTTGACAAACAGCAAATGAAATATTTTCAAGCGTTAATTTCTTCACAAATAGAAGCAAACATGCTTCCTCTACTTGTTGCGGTAGAAAATTTTGAATTACAAAATCTGTCGCCTGATATGATGACATCAGATGCAATTCAACAGTTTCGCAGTTAATAAATGCCCAAATAAAATCACACTCCATTGCAGCATTTGGCAAGAAAACGGAAATATTAAAGCTTCGCTCTTCTAATGCCAAATTTTTACGCAATCCTTTCCGTGGTGCAGTGTAACATGTCACAATTACCGCTGTCTCAGCACATATTGGTTCATTTCGAGCAAACTCATAATTGACTATAAGAAATTGTTTACGACGATGACGATTACTATTCTGCTCTACTAAACTATCACAAATAGTATGATTCCGATACATTGTCCCATCAACATTACTAAGTGAACTAATATTATCCAAGGATGCGCAATTGTCGTTATCATTGTTGTTATTGCTGCCACTGTTGCTGTACAGTATATTTTCAAGTGTGACTTCCTGGTGGTATTTCAAAATATCAGCTTCGGCTAAAAACATGATACCATAAGGTTATTTTTAGCAAAAAAAAAAAGGAATTTATGGCGTTAGAAAGCACTAAAAATATCTGTTTTCCAAAAACAGATTTATCAACATGCTCGGTTAGAAATAAAAAAAAAAAGAAAAAAGAAAATGTTTGTAAATGCAGAAGTAATAACTGAATGGATGATTGCAAGAGGAAATTTCAACTCATTTTTCTTTTCATAAATTTCATATAATAATATATCAGAAATTGTTATCATCCAAGAAAAAAGTATTACTGCTGCTTAATTGGTTGCTTTTAATTATCATTTGGCAAGGTAAGAAAAGGTGAGCAGAAATGCCGCATGAAAGACACGAGACTTAAACGTAACAAATGAAGAAATAAAGCAAAAATGTATATTATGATAAAAAGGGAATGTAACTAATCATTAAAAATTGCTCATAAAAAAAAAGAAAACAAAAAAACAAGGAAAAGCATGAAAGAAGTGTGAAAAAAGATAGGCAAATTTTCAGTTTCAAAAATTAACATGAATTCCAGAGTCTACTTCAGAAACTCTTAATGAAGGATGATTCTGAATAGTTGTGGAGAAAATGATTGAAAGATAAAATGAAGTTGAGAATAGGATTCAATACAATTATCAATGCTTGTATGAATTATTATTCGCATCCTGGCAGTAAAGTTTACAGATTTTAAAAGGACGATAAATTGGAGTGCTATAATACGATAATTTAACTTTCACTTCATACCATCACTTATAACGTTTAAATCTTGTACTTTGTAACAGCAAATCTGCTGATCAAATTATTATCAGTGGTCATCGATAAGTTATTTCAAAAATAGAAAATCATTTCAATTCGTTTCAAAATATATGCAATCATTCCCTTAATTATCTCTAATCTAATCATAAATTTCTTTAAATTAAACTGTCATTTTTAAAATTTAAATAATTTTTCTGAGATAAATGAGAGTGGAACTACTTCGTTGAAACATGAAAAGTAAACTAACTGATTGTTTGCAAAAAGCATTTTGTGATCACCCGACCAGCATCATTGGTCGCTTCACAGGTGTATTCTCCTTCATCTTCAATCGCAACTTCTCGGATTTTCAGAATGCAAACACCATCTTCATAGATAGTTTGATAAATGCTTAAAGAAGATAAAAATATAAAGCGATTAAAAATACATTGTATAATGATTTTTTTTCTCATTATGCTCAGGTATTAATGACAAATACCTGAGAAATGATAGAGAATAGATCTCGGAAAATCTGACTAATTACTTTACTCGTGATGTGAAGTGACAACGACTGCTAAAATTGAGGCATAATGGCATTTTATACCAAAACTTCAAATAAATGAAAAAGACGTTGACGCTTTCATATCAATACTCAAAAGGCAAATCGTTAAGTTTGAACCAGCTTTCAGGAAATCAGAAAATAATGATAATTAGGTCATGAACCTCATTTTCAAGAGGTCACAGATCACATTTTGTACCAGTATATGCTCTACACCAATACGGTGCATGGAAGTAACCTGAAGTGTAAATTTCATCCATTTAAGAGTTAAAATTCTTACTCGGAATCATGAATGACATCGCCATCTACATACCATCGTATCATCGGTGCTGGTGCACCAGTAACAATACATTTGAATTGATGGAATTGTCCAACTATTGCTGTCATATTTTCCAATGTTTTAACGAATTTTGGCATTTGGAGTAATCCTTGAAAAAATGATTAAAGATCACTTTTTTTGAATCTGTCAGTTGTGTCATTGCAACAATAATCCCTTATTATCTAGAAAATTTTGAAATGAAACATTTAGCGCCTTTCGCTTCAGAAATTTCATGATTCATTACATAAGCTGTTACTCTTCAGAATTTTCAAGTTATTTGAGAACACAAAAAAAAGAAAAACGTTGTAAAGGTAAAAGAAGATGCTTATATTTACCTGCTGATGAAGATTCAGACCAAGATACAGATGATGGTTCAAAAGGTGGTTGCAAAGAATGAGTTACATCCGTAATGCCAAAAGCAGATGGTGGAAGACTAACTGATGCTATCAATTCAATCGTCTAAATGATGGGAAAAAAAAACATAAGTTTCTAAAAATATGAACTTTCCTTTTTTTCTTTCTATAATGAAATTAACCTATTCTAATCATTATTTTCTGACTTATTAGAGATTAGTTATCAACAATGTACAAACAATGCCTTATTAGCTAATGTTTTTCGAAATGATTTGGGTTGATATGCTTTGCACAATCTAGTGTTGGAATGGTTTTTTTTTTTTTGATATCTACTGAAATGAACAGAATGTTTAAAAGGAGAGTTCTATTTTAGGTAAAAAAAAAAAGAAATGGAATGGTAAAAGTTAGCTAATAAAATAAAAGATGTCTTTTTATGATTTAATTTCTTCTTACCGTATCCAAGAATTCTTACCTGATTTGGACATGTGGCATTAACTTCCACAAAAACGGCGACAACATTTGCTTCGGTTTCCTCAGATTTTTCATATTTCTTTCCATATGACCAAACACTTTCCTTGAAATTTAGAAATTTCAATAAATTTCAATATGAATTGTTTTTATTTGAATTCAATAAAAATTATTAACAACCAGAAGTGTTTATTCTAATATTACCTGTTTTGAATGAAATCCAGGAGCAGTAAGCATAGCCACATTTAGAGTAGCTTCCTCTTCCACAAAACTTTCATATTCGATGACAAGCGCTTGATGTGCTACATCGCCTTTCTTAGTAAAAGTTATAAAAACGCTGGTGAGCTGAAATTACTCAATTTACAAGTGCGTCTCAGGAAAATTTTCCCGAAACACTTGACACTACTATGTTTGTGGATACAGTAATACAAAGTGTATCCAAAAGAGAAAATAAATGAAGTAACTATGAGTAAAGTAATCGAAAATATGTCAAAAAGGAAACTATTATCAGTGTTATCGAAATCCGCAAATTAATTTAACACTTTGAAGTTTCTGGAAAATTGACTTCTGGAATGTACCTTAAGTTTGCTTGCTGCAGCAGCGATAGCAAGTAATTCCGGAACCATTTTTCTTGCATCAACAATTGTTGTTGCATATTCACCAATCTCTTCCGGTTTATATACTACAATATTTGCATGCGCTACTGTTATGTCACTCTCGGTTGCTTCTTTAGAAACCTAGAAAAACAAAGCGAAAGATTTAAGCTGAAATTCTAAAGGAAAACTTCAAGTTATAGATGTTTTTCTTAATTGTGAAGTTAAGTGATAAGTAATGCAGTACTGATAAAATTTCGATTATCACTAATGAATAGTGAGCTTCCTTACTGAAGGAAAATAAAATTATATATATATATATATATATATATATATATATATATATATATA